TTTCATGTAAAGTATCACACTTATGTGCTTATATATTTTTAGAAGGAGAAAAATAGTATTTATCCTGGTTTATATACACTCCTAAAAAGGATCATACTTGAAGAGGAGAACATCTGCTTTTTCTAAGACACGCAAAGTGGAATTTTCTCTCCTAATGTGAAAGGCCTCCCCATTAACCTTGTCATTTCCTAAAAGCAAAAGTCTGCTCCCATTCATCACTAGTTTCCTCCAGAGCATCCCAAAAATTCTTCCTGCCATTTCATTTAAATGCTTTTCATTCCTTTATTTCCATTAAACCCACTCTGTCATTTGATCACAGAGATTATGGACAAATACCACATTTTTTTAAACAGTAAGGGCTTAGAACTGGTACATTTTAATGGAAAAGAGGGGAAACAGAGAGCCCCTGAAAGGAACAACTCCTAAAAAAAGAACAACTTACCTAACAATGACTAAACCTCTGCTGTTTTTCCAGATCCGAGGTAACCTGCTCTGCAGAAGGGATTTACAACCCAGCTATTCTACCCAACACATTTTTGTCCTTGACTTTCAAATACAGGAAGACGTAAGATTTCTCTGACAAATTCTGGAGAAAAAAAGTGCGAAAACAATTCAGCAACCTCATCGTTTTAGATGTATACACATAAATCCCACATTACTATTAAAAAGCAGAGGAGTTCTAAGAATTCCTATAAAGATCATATAAGCTGCACTATGTATTAAGTAACTTCTAGGGAAGCATTTATCAGCGCTTCCAAGGAAAAGAGCTATGAAAATTCACCATTTCTTTATTTTACTTTTCAGTTCTGGCATTTCACTGCCTTACTTGTTTGGGGGTGTGTTGACATTTCTCTTCCCTAGACAGTCTGCAGAAGCAATATAAAACGCTAAGTTTAGGATGCAGTTGCAGTTGTCGCATTTTAATGGAAGATTATGCCACAAATATTCAAGGCACTGGTTAAGACTTCACCAACAAAACTGTACACAATACTTGGAAAACCCACAACAACAAAACATATATATTGCACCTCTAGAATCAGTCTAAAGCTGAAAGTTTTTCCGGGCTTAGAAAGTAATGTTCTGTATATACCAGGGTAAAAGAGCTGAACCATTTTGGTCTTAACCGGGGAAATAAAAGCAACTTGATTCAAGTATTCAAAACCCTCAAAGTTCTTGACAAATGCAACCCAATGGACTTCTTCAGAATCAACAGTGAAACACGAACTAGAGAACACAAGTGGAAACTACAAGGAGCAACTAGGAGACTTGTTTTTATATCAAGTGTTTTGGGTGCCAGAAACAAGATATCCAGCCGTGCTGTTGAAGCCAGTACTCTGTTTCAAGAAACAGCTGGACAAGGTCCACAGTCCATAGCAAACCAAACAAGCTAGGTGGACCGAATTTCCTCCTCTGATTTCTAACCTTTATTATGTTGTTCGGCTCAAATAAAACATTTCGACGGCAGCACGTTTTGCAGGCAATGGTGCGGGCATGTGAAGGAAGTTTAAGTGCTGTTAAATTTGCAAATTAATGCACAAGTTAATCCATATAAAATTAAAGCTGTCACATGTCGTCAGACACCCAATTGACCATGAAAGTACATTAACAGAATCTCTTGCAGAGGTCGCTGAATCTACCAATTAATGCTACAGTTATTTAATAAAACAGTGGCAGTAAGAAGTGACAGCAATAAGCACATTTGTTAAAGGGAAAGCACCAGGAGAGGTTTTAGAGGAAACCCAAGGAAACTATCGGGTAGGGTGATTTATGAGAGACTTTTGGAGGTGAATGAGTCGCATCCCAGGGAAAAATCAACACAGACTTGTAAAAGAAGAACAAAAAAAACACTCGCCACTGTTTGAGGAAATAGCAAAAGACAATTAGAAAAGCAATCAGAGGGTGGCATCAGAGCAGTACAGGAAACACCCAGGAAAACCATGGCTAGGATGCGTAAATTATGTAAACCAAAGTGCAAAAGCCACCTGTCACTTTATTTTTTGTATGTAGAAAGCCTTTTGTAAATATTTAGTCAAATCCATCTCAAACTCCTAATTGATATCATGGTTATCTAAATAAATGTGGGCTGAAACATGACTTAAGAACACATATGTGCAAATAAAATAGCAGGTTCTCTATCAATGCAGTGACCCCTTCTGTAACTAAGGGAGAACAATAATGAGGTGATGGCAAAGCTTCAGCCAATGGACCTGCTTCTGAAAGTGCCCTCTTCCTCCTGGAAGTACGAGTCTCTTTTGAAAGCAGCGGCCTTTCTTTGTTCTCTGAAGAAAAACTTGTAAACTGGCCCCTCAATAGGAAATAAAAATGATGGGCAATCTGCCTACAGTGAATTATCAGACCAAGAAATCTATCACAAAGTAGTCAAAAAAAACCTAAATAATATTCTAAAACAATTCAACTGACATCATATATAGGTTAAAAACAGAAACAGTTCAATTAAAATTAACTGTGATGAAGTGAGATAACATTCTACAGGGGGAAGAAATGTCCATTTTGGAATTGATTGCCAACTAAAATCTTTGATTCTACCTCTAAAATTACAGTATGCAGAAATTTGAATACTGGACTACTTAATGTCTCCTTTAAATTTACTTCCAGAACTACTACAGAAAACCTCAATACCAGTCTATTTCCATAGTCAGACTACAGAATCTGAGGCCATTTTGCTTCTTTTCCAGTTCTGTATTGCAAGAACTCTAAACAATTTAAATAATCAGCACCACCAATTCACTACTTTATGAGTGTTATGATTCAATTTCTGACTTACATAAAACTCTAAAAGCTGGCGTTATCTCCAGGAGTAGTCTAACAAAATCCCTTATCTAAAAAAAGCAGAAGTCCTTTACAACAGCACCTCATTTCCCAGGCCAGTCAAACAGAAGCTAAGGAACATTACAGAAAACCTGTATTTAAAGCAGCAGGTACGAAGGTACCACTTATACTTAACTTAAAGACTGGTTGAGCAGAAACAGCCCAGTGATGCCTGGGCTCAGGTCTGGGGCAGATTAACAAGCTTGGATCCCATCATCAACCGGCAGCCACTGGCACAAATGGGTTTTTGCATTAGTTCTTTGAGCTGCTCAGTAGTTGTGATAAATGGCTTTTAATGGCCTGCAACCTACAGATAGACCCCAGGCAACAGTTATTAGGGAGATCCACTTCAGTACAGAACAAAATGTTGCTTCAGTAAGAAAACTACATGAACTACACAAATAGTGTGAACCCAACATCCTGATTCATTCAGTAACACTGCATGTAACACAGCGAATGAAAAGGTGCCAATTCACAAACTTTTTTAACACAAATACAAGATGATTTGGTCCAAACATTGTGTTCTCCTGCATTCTAAAGCTATGACAAAACGCAATGTTTTATTATTAGCTTTCAGGTTAGGTTTCTTTCTACCGAATGATGATGTAAGAATGGCACAGAGAGGAATAAATGGTTTCATACGGAGCATGAACTCCGGTCAAAGTTCTCCAGAGGAACAGATATAGACAGCTCTGTCAGAAAAGGAGGACTCAAATGTAACATGATAGCCTAGTGTCCTGGAATGTTTAAAGACTAACTGAAAGTTTGCAGACTGAATACTTAACTGAAACACAATTATCTGTACATGCAGAACCTAACAAATGTTTTTTTTTTATTTGCTCTTAAAACATTAAATGTATGCATTGGAGCACTGGTTCCCATAAGAATGAAACATTCACATACATGAATGAGGTCTCATTAATTGTAATGTTAATGACCTGTAGCACTCTGAAAACAGCTCTACAATCATCATAGAGAAAACTTTCATAAGCACTACATTTTATGCTGCCTTAAGAAACAGCATAAAACATGCTAACCAAAATATTTTGAAATATGTCTTCCACGGTAGCAAGGTTATTAAAACCGTGGGACATAATTCCACATATTTGGCATAGTATTTTTTTTTTGCAACATAACATTATGGCCTGGCCAAAACCCAGTTTTTAAACACTTGAGTTTGGTACCTTGTCTAATGACAGGATATCTTAGCCAACTGAGCCTACTGGTGAACTTCCAAAAGAAACTACCCAGAACCTAATAGCTCTTGGGCAACTGACCAAAGTTTTGGTCCTACTGTCTATAAATGGGACAACTTGACAAATCTAACTGAAATATTAGGTTTGAAACTGACTACACAGCCAAAACCATACATAAGAAGTATTTATCATCGTGATCCAATTTAATCATAATTCCAACATTTAAAGCATGGACAAAAGCATTTGTATATATCAAAATATGGTATTGATTAAGTTTCTTAACATGCTGCTAATACTGTGTTAGTCACAGTTGCTTATTTCTCACTGTTTATTGGCGCAATACCAGTACATTTATAGTAAACTTTAACTGGCACATACAATAACAAACGTGAGACATTTCGGCTGGTTATTATTAAAACTTGAAGTAACAAATCCAGCCTAAGGAATTCAGCTGTCTTCCGGTCGTAGGTTCATTACATACCCATGGACGTAAAAAAAAAACTAAATACAGGCGATTTTTTACACATTCGACTTACAAAGACATCAATTGAGATACGTGAATGAAAGCAGAAATGCCAACCACGTAAAAAATTCCAGTGTTTTCAGGTATGTCACGTGTATAAAGTTATTATATCTATTTCCTGCAGAAATAATGGATCACCGGTATTAAAAACTTCACTAACACAATAGACCTGGTATTTTTGGCGCATTTGTTTTCACATCTCTTGCATTCTTTAATGTTTAGTGATTGCTAAGGATTATAGTGGCGGCCTTCCCGGCGATAACCTTAAGCCGTAGTACACGTATTTCGCTCCGACTACTCGTGAAAACACATAACTTCCGTATGCAGGTTGTCATATAAAAAATACCGCTCTAACCGACTGTACTATCAAGACCAACAGCCACCCCTTTACTTGCTAGTGGCTTGAGGTGTGACAGAACAGGGGAAAAATGAAACTTCTCACTTTTCCTCACCTCGTTGGAAGGTATGCTGACAACACCTGTGGATCTGCGCTTCTCTCGGAGCTTCCTTTTCTCTATCTGCCCCTTTCCCTTTCTGGCGCTGGGGCCCGAGCTCTTGCTTTTCTCTTTGCCTTTGCTTGAGATCGATGCCGGGGACGGGGACCGATCTTTGTCGCTGTCGTTGCACACGATCATCCCGGCGCACTCGGGCTGCGGGGTGCTGGGGACCTTCTCCGGCGGCGGAGACTTCTTCAGGTTACCTCCGGCAGGATCGCCTCCCCTGCCCGCGGCCGCCTGGTGCGGGTCATCCTCCATCCTCCTCAGGGCTGAGGAAGACGAGGATCGAGCCATCGGGAGAGAAGAGGAGACGCAGTTGAAAGAAGAAGAAGAAACAACTACGCGATCCGGATTCCCATTGTTGTTCAACTCGCCGCCCGGAGAAGTTGGACTTCTCGACTCGCTGTTGCTCGTCCCGACCGCAGAAGGTGCCGCCGTGTTCCCACCGGTAGAAGCAGCAATATCCCCAAGCATTTTAGCCCTCATTTTCTCTCGCTTGGCTTTCCATTCTTCGAGAAAGTCTGTCGTTGTACTTGATCTAAATCCACCCGTCGCCATGTTACTTATTTTAGGGGCTTAATCGGTGTTTATTTTATGGTGCCGTATTGTTTTTGTTGTTGTTGGCTTAATCAGCGGTGCTGCGTTGGGAGAAAACTTTTCCTCCTTCTTGATAGCGCTTTGCACTTAATGCCCCCACATTCCCCCGAGTGCAAATCAGCAGCAGATACTCGAAGGCGGCTAAAAAAAAAAAAGATATGGGAAAGATCAATAAGAATATAGAGTCAAAGCGTGTAGTTGTGCAACTTATTTCAGACCAAACAAAACAATGCAATCGTGCAATAAAGTCGTCTGATAACGTGTACTGTTTCTGCGAGAAAAGTACTGAACACCTTTCTTATTAGTGCTTAACTAGTTAGATAGGCCGGTTAACTTGTACCTGTTGCGTTTTCCCACCACATATCGCAGGTCGCTCGTTAGTACCCGACTTTCCAAACTTTACTCTAAAACTTTTCCTGTAGTTTTCCTGCCATACAGCGCTTACTATTTTATAACCGATAGACAGCATATTTAGCACCACGTCTCAGGGAGTTTATCATAACAATATGCTCAGGTTTTTAGACATTTCCTACCTGGTTTTTCACGCAGCAGTAGCAGCGCCTCAGGTGAACAGCCCGGTGGAGAGAAACGCTCTTCACTGGCAAGTTCGGTCGCACGGGCAGGGAGCAGCGCTCAGCCCGCCCCCCCGCATTGCTTCTCCCCGAACACACACGACTAGATACGAAGAGCCGATCGCCTGGGAAGACTACTGACTACTTTAATCAGTACTTTAAAAAGTTAATTTTTTACTTTTCTCTTCATTTTATCGCGTTGGGTTTCATTTCGCTTGTGCAGCGCGTTGACCGTTTCAATAAAGGACCTGCAGTTTAAATCTGGAATAAACTACTTTCGTGTGAACTTGTAAACCAAGGAAATGCGTCTAAAATTCCTTGGCGACAGTGTTGTACTTGTAGCATTTAGATTTGTTCCTTTGCAGTTATAAAGCAATTATATATGAATGAGGAACAAATAAAAGTTGTTCAATTGTTTACAGAAATGGGGTCATCATTTTACCAAACATGGGTTTGTTGCTGCTTTTTACTGTTGAACAAATCTGATCTTTTTTTTTTACTGACAATTATTCTCTAAGGATTTCTGACAAATGGCGGCGAATGATCCACTGCAATGCCAAGAAAAGCTATTCTCTTCCTGTAACGTTGTTAGAAGTGTGAAACAGGATAGAGTTGTGCTCTGCAGCAAGCACTTCAGTAGAGGTATCAGGTAGCTAGCTACTCCGTCATCAAAATTCAGTCGACCAATTTACTCATCTTTTTCTCTCAAGTCAAAAATGTTTCGTCGTGTCTCCCCCTACTTGCCCAGTAAAACTCATTCCATGAAAATTATTATTGGCCATATCATACAATCTGATGATTTTAAGCCCCTTTCATTATGACTTTTTTTTTTGCTGAAAAAAAGTTTAACCCATGTAGAACTGTTACAAAACAGTTGAAGAAATGTTACAAACAAGAGGTGGTTATTTGGCTCGTCGATTTGGTTGTAAGTAGGCAAATGATCAGAGCATCTCATTCAGCCAATTCTTAAAAGAAGCCCAGGTTGTTACATCTGTAGTCTGTTACAGACTTTTACAACTCTTTGTGTAAAACAGTGCCTCCTGGTCTCAGTTCCAAATGCTTTTTCCCAGTAGTTTCCTCATGGGCCTTTTATTTGGTCTTGATGGTTAGTTCTGAATTCCATTTGGTACACTTCAGTAATGCTTTGTGAAGGATTTTGAATATTTGAATCAGGTCCCCTTGTAATCCTGCCTTTAAGACTAAAAATGTTCAATTCCTGGAACCTGTGAGAGGCTACAAGAGTATGATATTCCTTTAAGCCTTGTAGATTCCAGAGAACTAAGATCTATTTTCAAAGTGTGGTGACCCAAACTGTGCACAAATATTCGAAAAGAGATCTTACTAGGGCATTAAATATATATTTTATATTCCTTGATGTACTCTGTATACTTTTGACTATGTATTCTAAATTCTGTTTGCATTTTTATCATGTCCTCATGTTTTATAGAAAGCAATGTGTTAAAAAAAAACTATTTTTTCAGAGGCTTGCACAGCAGTGTTTCTTAATTTCTCATATAGCAAAACAAATTCTGTAGTTTACAGAGACTGTGTGTATAGTATGTAGAAGATTGACAGTACATTGTCATAGACATGAAGAATGGCCCAAAACACACGTGCATCCAAGGAGTTCATCGGGAGAAAAGGTGTTATCTTATAATTCACAATTGAAATTCACAATTCAAAGAGGCTGCAGCAAAATGATTTAAAAAAATTAAACAAAGTGTCTGATGAGCTCAATGGGTTGCAATTATTATCCCATATACATTCTGAAATGTACCTAGAGTAAATGTGTCCCTCAGCAACTTGAAATCACCGATCACTGGGTTGAACACAAAGTTAGTTTGGTTTTGTTCAAATATGATCAAATGTAGGAATGAAATTACCCCCCCCAAAAAAAAAATATATATATTTATTAATCTCTTGATAACAAATTCAAATTGTTTGACTTGAAAGAGTTTTTTTTTTTGCATGGTTCTCTATATCATTCAAGGAAAATGAGTCTGTATTCATTTTTTTGTCTGATTTTTGTTTTGTTTTTGAAAATAAAATGCAGCACAGAGTCTGGTACCCAGAAATACATTATGACCTGTTTTCTCTATGATATCTTACTTATTGCATTTCCTGGATCTTTGTTGTCTGTGTGGTACTCTGGCTGTTTTTGCTTAGGGTACTATTTGCTATGGTAACTGACTGTCTGAGAGGAAGCAGCATCTCACAGTGTATCAGTGTCTCTTCAGTGTGGTTTACTAATGAGCAAAAAGGCATGGTGTGACAGTCATTCCCTTCCCCTTCTCATTTTACTGGCAACAAGCTATGAAGAGTCTGCTTTTTCTGAATCATTCAATTACCAAGCCCAAAGAACTGAAAAATAATGTTAAAATACAATAGTAGGAGAATATAGGCAAAAATAATTGGTATCTTTAAGCTTAGATTCAACCATTGAGGTCTGCAGTTAACTTACAGTATACTTGAGCTTAAAGTAAGATAAATGTACTGTATAAATAAAGTCCTTCCTGGTGGCACCGAAGAACCATAAACCTGTTGCTCAGAAGTGACGGCGGAATTAGTTCTGTTTACTCAAAATATGGTTTGTACAGCTGACATAAACATTGTTAATAAACAGTGTTGTATGAGCTCCATTGCAAATCTGACAACGTTGTCTGTAGTTGTTTATGTAGCTCCTTCATTAGCTCAATCACATCATTAAAAAAAGCACATGAACCACAGTCATCTTAAATAAGACCTTTAATACACAAAACTAAGATGACCCAAATGGTTTAGAAAATAAACAAAAAACCTAAGTTCTCCGCAACATTTTGGATTTCATTATTATTTATCTGTTTTATCTGTGCAATTGTTATTTATCTGTGTAATAACCTATACTAAAACATTGCTGTGATTCAGGAAAAAGCCATTTGCCAAGTAATCCCATTTCTGATTTCTAAACTATTGTTTTGAGAATTTGTGTTCTATCAAAGTGGTTCAATAGCATCCACTGCTGTCTGATTTATGTCTTCTTCTTAGGTTTAGATATTTTGTATTTGGCAGATTTAGAAAAAGCAATTAAAGGGCTGCCTTAGGAATGTACCGTGGAAATACTGAATTAACAGAAATCAGTTAGAACATTCCAATTAAATTCTTGGGCAGCCCTGTCTTTGCTGTTTACACACATTAAGCTACATTTTAAAGCAATATTGACTCTGATTAATAGAACCTAACATATCATAATTCAATATTAATTTAAGTGTTCAGAAACATAATATTTGGTATTTGTGGTCCCAGACAGACCCAACAATTTAAACCACTTCATCTTCATCTATATAAGAAAATCATTCAGACAAAAAACTGTAAATATTAAACAACAACATCATTAGATAACTCTATCATCCTAGACACCTACAGGAGATAAAATGTTTGAAAGGGTATGAAAAATGGTGTATATCGTCCATTTGTCTACTTTTATGAAACAAATATTAAGTCACATAAGAATATAAGAAACATTACAAACGAGAGGAGACATTCAGCCCATGTAGCTCGTTTGGTAATTACCAGTTAGTTGCTCCAAGGGGCTCATCCAGCCAGTTCTTGAAAGAAACCAGGGTAACAGTTTCAACGAAAGGTCGGGATTTCTTTAAAGTGCATACCATATAGTACCATATAGTTTCCACTTGTGTCCCCTGGTTTCATGCTTCATTGTTGATTCTTAAGAAGGGCGGTGGGTTGACTATGTAGACTGTAGTCTTCTCTGTTAAACTAAAAACTAAAAAGTTAAAGCAAAATGTTGATAATTTGAGGAATACCATGAGAATACTAAATCAGATTAAATATGTGTATAAATCACCCAGAACCTCAGTTTATACCTCAACCGTAGCCTTAGTCCTTGTCAAAATGGAAAGAAAAAGGTTTATTACTTTGAAATACTTGAACAATTTGCATAATTTAGTCAGTTAAAAGGTCTCCCACAAAAAGCTTTTTTTTGTTATTTACAGGTCAGAAACATTGTTAAGCAAAATGTGCCTCAATTTGAAAAACTCTCCAGGGCTGATCTGTTTCACGATCTTGTGCAACAACCTCTTTCCTCAAAACGTTTAATTTCACAGTTTCTATCTGTGTTTTCTAAGCACATGGACGTGTCTGTTGAACACCTGAAAGATGTTCAGTGCAAGGAGCTCAATATTGAAATTTTTTATGAGGTATGGGAAGAGGGTTCATTACTCTAAAACAAAATTAAACAAGATATATTCTTCTATGAGACAGGTGCAAGTCCTCTGATGGCACTCTCACAGTGGTTCTCAAAAGTGTCTAGGAAGAATATACCCCAAGATCCCAAATTAACACTCTTCTGTTGTTCAGAGGCAATGATCAGACTGACAAAAGCAGAACAATTAGCACTGTTGTTCAGCATGGTTATGAAAAAAATTATTAAAGAATTAAAATCTATAATAAAAAAATTATTGCCTGGTTCAAGAGCTGGCTCAATCTAACGGTCTCCTAAATTACAGTACAACTGAGAGGATTTATTTTTATAGGACAAACACTGTGGAGCAGTTCAATAAGATTTGGGATCCCTTTCTTGAATGTTTAGAAAAACACTGAGCTTTGCATTTATTGGAAATTGTATTAATTTCCTACACTGCAGATTTTGACTTTATACTTATCTCTACAATAAAACTGTAAAGACGAATGAGCAAGTTTGTGCTTTGTTTTCAGTATCTGGTAGGTTTTATTGTTTGTAACATTTTTTATTATTTTTTTGTTAAAATTCTCAAAATATCTAAAATAAAATACTTAAATACTGATTGAACTGATTTCAGGGCAGCAATGTGACGAATAAAACTGTACAGAATATTCTAACTGAGGCCTTACTGGTGTGTTATACAATTTTAATATAACATCCCTCCATTTAAATTCAACATGACAACAACAATAATAACAAAACATACCTATCACATTTCCAAGCCCTAGGACCCTGAACAAATGATAAAATTATAATGAAAGACAAACTTTAATACAATCATGCATAGGCCTTAATAAAAATATGAGTACAAAGATTTTGTCTCTCAAAGGGTGCAGAAAGGACATCTCATAAAAATGGAGCAGCAAAGTAGAGAAAGTACGTTCACCAACGGTCCGACA